CTTCCATTTACAAGGCCAGTTTCTGAGGATCATTATGATGTAAGATGTCATCCTGAAGGATGAAAATATAAAAAGCTGCAGCTCCTCTAAACCTGAACATTACCAAGTCACCACTACACTGGAACACAAAAATGTTGCTCCCTGATTGTAGAGGGGACATGGGTGACTACCCCACAGCACACACAAATCTTTATCAACCTGGATGCACAATTAAGCTAAACATTCATCCAACAAAAGGTAAAAAATTACTCCTTGGGTGGTGTCACAGCTGAAAGCAGAGCAGTAAAGGCTCCAGAGCACCCTGAGTGATCAGTCCCATATGAGATATTCTCCACTAAGCTTTGTGCTGGCAGCATTCCCACTATTTGAGGAAGGAGACACGCAGCTGGATGTAAAGCTTGCAATGCAGAACTGCCTTAACTACATGGCAGGAGGATGGCAGTTCATAATTAATTTTCCACATCAACTGTTGGCTGCCCTCCTCTTCCTCTCTGCTGGGCTGCAAACTGTCAGTGGATACTTATCCAGAAAGCAGGCCTGCCACAGAGCAAAAAGCATGATTATTATTAGCTAGTATTTTACAGGGCATGCTAGCCAAAAATCAGAGGTAAGTGAGCCTGGGCAGAGTGAGAGCAGTACCAGTGCAAAGACAGCCCTGCCAGATGCTGTTTGTCCTCTGAGAGATGCAAAACCAAAGGGAATAGAAAACCAGGATGAAGAGAGCAAAACAGATAGGAGAAGGTTGCAAGGAGACAGAGAAAATCTGTTCTCAGACAAAGGTTTTGAGCCAGCTAATTTCAGAACATCTGCAGCCCAATGAAACACAGGCCCTTTTCCACCCTGGCTGGACTCTGCCTAAGGCATGGCCCATGGGCTGCCAAGCAGCAGCTCTGCAGAGGACAAGGGGCTCCAAAGTGCTTTGTTTTCTGAGAGAAAGGACGTGTGCTCCACTCAGAGCCAGCATTTCCTGCTCCTCAGTCTCGGGTCTCTGCAGGGCTGGAGTGCAGAGTTACTACAAGGAGGTTGCTGGTCCTCGCAGGGGAAAGGTCTCCAGAAGAAAACAAACCCCAATTTCACCACGCTCTCTGAATTATGACTACAAACACCAGAGAGCAGAAGGCCAGGAGCAAAACCATTTGTATGACTTCAGACATACCCACTGACCTCTCAGTACTTCAGGAGAACAGGTAAAAGACTATTATATTACTGTTCTGTGATTCTGTATCTTAAGAATCTCACGTTAGTTTTGGAGTTTCTTATTTTCTTTCAGCAATTCAACTCGGTTCTGCCGCTGCTATCACCTTTTTAATTCATTTTACAACAAGATATTTGTTATCAGAAATTGTGCTTTGATATGTGTCAGGTTGATGGATGCAATAAAACCCTGTCAGGAGAAGCTGAGTGAATGGGGCTGCAGAAGTGGCATCATCAAGGGAATTGACACCTTAACAGCCAGTCTGCTGATCCTGCAACAAAAACATGCAAATATAATAGCTGTTTTATTTCCTCCCCTGGCAAAACAGTCCAGAGAACACTATAAGGTATTTGCATAAATGTTACTCATGCAAACAAGCTCAGCCTGCTCACTGATAAAAAACCATATGTAAAACATGATCCCGTATGCTGTCCTCTTGTCCTGTTTGGTGCGCAAAATTCAATCCAGAGGAATAAAGGCTTTAATCAAAATACAGCTTTTAATTTTAGTTTAGGAATTCAAACAGCAATCCTGTGATGCTTCAACCAAAAATTTTCCCTCAATAATGTTGGAGGACAATTTTACTGACAAATTTTCAGACACAGCCATACGTATCCCTCAGCAAAGACACTGAAAAGTTGCATTAGGGTCTTACTGTGAGAGCCAAAACCCACAGGCATATAAAATCAGAGGGTTTTTTCCTGATTTAATAAATGAAATAATATAAGGAACAAGAAAATTTGAAGAAAGAAATAATAAGTTTTTATTGGACCACATAATACAATGAATGAGAGAGGGAGACCTGCCCACTGCTCTGCTGCAGGTCAAGTAGGGTTTGAAGTCTCTGCTTCAGCTGACCAGAGCTGCAACACCACCCCTGCACTGGCCTGGAGCACAAAGAGATTTTTTTAACTGGCACTGATTTACAGAACATCTGGAAAAGGTAAAAAATGTGATGTTGAGATTCAACTTTTAGAAAAGAGAAATAATATTACTGGTCTAAACAAAGCAAAGGGAAAATTTCCATAGCAATTAATCTGAAAAAGGTGAACTACATTGAGGATTTATATTCATGTAATGAAGACAATTAATTGCTATGAGAGCCATAAAACCCATTAAATGAACAGGTTTTTTTCCAATTCTACTCGCAAGATAAAATTTATTAACTATGTTTAATGGCTACTTAAAAATTTCTCTTACATATTTATTAAATGTGCCTTTTCAGCCGAACGGAGCATTTTACTAACTGGATTCTACTAATCTAAAAATGAGCAATTCCAGAAAAAATCTATTGCCCTGCACGTTATCTGCAGATCCATTTAAACTAATTCCTCATACAATAAGATTACCATCAGCACAATTTCATAAACATTGCTAAAAGGGAACCTGCTCATCTCACGTGAGCAAACACTGCTGCAATGATGAATGAATTCTGCTCACATGATTTGAACAGATGTTTCAGTTTTCAGTAGAGATAGGGAGGGAAGTGTTGAGTCCTGATGTCATTAAATGTTACTGTAATCAATTAAAACCCTCTCTACTTGGGAGAACAGGACACATGGAAGAAAATGGATTGGGTGTGAGCAGTGAGCTCAGAAAGATGCACATCCAAATCTTGTGCTCAGCCAGGGCTGTGTGCCTCCAGCTGCAGGCATCGGATGCAGCTTGTGCACTTAGACTGCCTGAAAATCAGGGACAGATGTTTGCCACTTAAAAGTGACCTACAAGTGACTCTGTTTCTTAGTCACCATTTACAAAATGGGGATAAGTAGCACTTCTGTCTTCCTGGGGTGTTGTAGGAACAGATAAAGTTGATGGCAGTCAAGTACTCGGGTAATCACGAGTCCCCAAGATGAAGAGAATCAATAAAGAAAGGCCTCATCTATTTAAGTGAGAAACAACAGTTTGACCAGATCTTTACAGTTTAACACAACCTCCTCAACCTGCAATATTCTTCTTAAAGATGAAGCTTCCATAAGGGATTTAAATAAGAACCAAGTTTTAGATCCGATGGTCACGAAGTAAAATGCAGAAGTATAATCAAAGTCCAGCCTAGAGCTTAATGCCTTAATAACAATTTCACACAAATTGTATAGACCTTAGACTGAGAGTTGGATTTGCTCAGGAATAACAGGGGAGCTCATTTACTACCCCCCTGTCCAAGGCAGGAGCAGCACCATGGTCACACCAACAACCAACATCTCTGGAGCAGATTCTCACACACTCCGGGACAACCTGGGTACCCAGCAAAACTCACCCCCTCATTGCAAGGAAGATTTACGTATTTCAACTCAGAAATATCAAACCCAAACAAGGAATAAACAAAACTGCTGTGATTTCTACATTCTAACAGTGCCAATTTTTTCTCTGTGAGAGTCAAGAAGCTCTCTTGATTATGAAATACCTCTCCTACAACCTTCCCTTTTAAGTGTTATAATCACAAGAGTAGTAGCTTGGAAATAAACAGGAATGAAGAGGATAATAAAGGCAGGAGCAATGTTTAACAAGCTCTTCTTCCAGAAACCAGAGCAGGCAGACAAGCAGAGCTGTGCTGTGCTGTAATGACGGGAACCTCGCCCTGGCAACCATGTTGTTTGCTTGAAATTCCTGTACAAATTAACAGCACATGCTGTGGTTGGAACTGACCTTTCTTGACCCTCACCATTTAAAAGTTAAGCACCCAATTTAAGCTATTCCAACCAACTTTTCCCTGCAATTGCCAGACACTGGTAGAGCTCTGCTGGAGCATAAGAGTTTGAGCCCACAATTTCCAGAGCTAACATGACAAGTGCAACCAGATCAAAAGCAGGAGAACTGATGTACCCTCACCTGCACCGTGGTTTATTTTAGAGGCTTTTAAGAAAGTCTTGACTTCTTTTCCCTGTTCTTCCACTAACACCAAGCACAGGTGTTACATTGCTGCTGTACTTTTCTCAACAAGATTATAGCGCTGGTTCAGTCATATAAAGGAAGTCAATACCCATGTGCTAAATGAAAAAGGATAATATCATCTGCTACCACTCTACTGAGATCTGGGAACCATTGCTTTAAATCTGTGGTCTTTTTTTTTTTTTAATCAGAAAACTTTGCCTTCACAGAAATAACGTGACCTAGGTAAAAGAAGCCATAGAATCAGAGACTGTATTACCCTAAAATCTCATCTAGCACCATCTTCATCAACAATACATCCTGGCCTTCAGTTTCTTGCTAGAAAATGGTTGCATATTGCCTTGCTACAATTCCAGCACAGCCAGGGCACCATTTGTGTGGGTATGAGAACACTCACAGTAATTTTAAGTGCTACACAACAAAGGGAGAATACGATTATACAGGAAATTGGTAGTGGTATTTCCATCCTTTGCAAACAGTGAGAATATACAAAGCACAAAGGAAATCACAGGGCTGAATTATAAACGGGCTGCTTCATCTCCTTTTCTTTTTTCCCCATTTCTGACCCTCAAAATACAGTCATTAGTGAAACACAACAAGTGGGGTTTTCAAAACATGGATTCCTATCACCAAGTATCCATCACCAGCAGCAACACATTTAGTTCACCAACAGCAAGCATTTAGTTCAATAAAGAACTTCACATAAACAGACACCCCCTCAAGCCCAAGACAATAAAAACACTTCACTCCTGGTGAACGCTTTCTAAATTCAGGGAGAGCAAAGCTTATTTACAGACACAGTATGAGCATGGCATGAATACAGCAATAAACTCAAAGGCTGCTAATGCTCTGTTTTTCCCATATGTAGACATTCAGAAAAGAGCAAAAATATAAGAACAGGGGGAAAAATACATACCTTACCAAACCTGACTGTTGGACACGACTCCTTTCAGAGCAACATTGGGGTGAAGGTAAGTTCCTCAGACGACCACCAACCACAATTCCTTTCCAAGCCCCCCAGAGGCTCCAGCTCTCCCTTGCCTGTGTCCCTGAGGAAGATGCAGTGTCCTCCAGTATTTCAGAGCCTCAGCTGCAGAAGATGCTGCTCAGAAAAAGAAAAGAGAAGAAGGTGTGGCATTAAATTCTAGGGTCAGTTGTTTGGCAGATTCAGAGCAGAACACAAGACAACATTGGATAGGAATGAAATGTCAAGGCAGGACAGAGAGTCTGTGACAATCCATCATGTGTGGCACCTTCAGAGGGCAATCATTGAATTCAAGAACTGTGGTGCACAGCTATTCTTGCTTTACAGTACTTTTATAGTGTCCCTAGACCAGGAAATGAATGACAGCCTGGCTGCTTTTCATTCCAGTCCAATATCATAACACAGAAGTAAGTAATGCACTTCTCCATAGGGAATATTTTCATTCATTATGGAATTTCTGAAGAATAACAGGACTTTTATATCAAAAGCAGAGACATCACCTCAGTCTTAATACTCTGCATGATAAAATGGCTCTTAGTCAAAGCTTAGGAGCCTACAGCAGATGGGAATTTGTGACTGCCAGCCCAACATGCCACAGGTTCCCAAAGTTCTGCCTCCAACACAATTGTCAGAGACTAGTAAATGTGCTGGGGTTTTCTGGGAGCAGGGGGCTCGGCATCACCACATTTTCTAGCCCACTGTCACTGCTGGATGTGCTCAGAGTTCCCAAGAGGTCAGACCCTGGTGCTGAGCAGGGATGTGCGGCCTCACTGCAGTCACCAGGAGAGAGACAGCGATGGAGGTGACCACCAGCAGCAGCACTGCCAGCAAGCAGAAACCTCAGAGCAGCACTGAGAAGTCAAAATGCTCATCCCTAACCCCTGGCAGATGGAAACACTCAAAGGATCATCCTTCCCCCACCCAGATAATATAGCCTGTGAAGCAAAACTGGGCACAGCAGCACAGAACAGGTGAGGACTGAGGAAAGAGGAGAATCTGAGTTTCCCTATGTCAGATACATACATGGCTCACATCCTTAAACCACACCCAGAGATGCTTTCCTGGATTAACTCAGCAGCCATGAAGATACTGCAACTTTGCCTAGGAATTTTATAAAAAGCAAATCGAAAAAACATCAGAGATACAAGAGGTTTCCCTCAGAGGAGAAAGCCCATGGCAGCTCCAAGTACCACAAAATCCCATTACACCTTCACAAGAAACCATGAACCCATGAAGAGGTTACACCTATCTGGAAAACACATTAGGTTTTGGGCTTGAAAGAAAGAATATTTCAGCAACCAGCACATGAAACTGTGCATACTGGAAGTTAGCATCATACACACAAATGTACATAATAGGTTTGGTTTTTTTGTGGGTTTTTTTTGGGTTTTTTTTGGTTTTTTGTTTGTTTGTTTTCTTTTTTTTTTTGTTGAAGCCCATACAGCACACACAGTCACACAGATCTGAACAATCAAATAAATTTACTTTATTTAACACTAATTACTTTACTGGACCTCATATGTTACATACACCCCCAAAGGTTCCACAACACCTTGTGGGACACTCACAACAGGAGTCAGGTGTGTGTTGTACACATTCACAGACTTCCTGCCTCTCTTGAACTCAGACATGAAGGACAAAACTGGACCTTCACAGCTGCTGTCCTCTTCCAGGCCAACCATGAGAAATCAGACTGCCAGCTGAAATGGCTGCTGAGTGACTCATGGGCACAGGAACAGCTGATGCTGCACTAGTTTGATCTGCAGGCAGCAGTAAGACCTAATTCTACTGCTTTTAAGGGATTTTATCTCTGGAGACCACAGCTACAATTACTTTTTCATTTCTACTCGTAAATTGAAACATAGAATAGTCACTAAAGGAAATCAGTGCTACATTTTTGTGCATTAAGCAGAGCATCAGCTGAGTAGAGGAAGAAACAGCAACAGGCCCAGATCATCGCTGTAACCTGAGTGCAGGGGCCTGGGCTCAGCCTGGGAAAGGTGGGCTTGTGGAAGTTCCTGTTTAGTGGAGTTTGCCAATGAATATGCAGCAAAGTTGAGGAGGAGAAGTAACAGGAGGTGTGGATGTGGAGGTGAAAATAACTTTATTCGTGACAAAATGCAGTGAGTGTGCAGAAGTCCCATCTCATGATCTGAGATGGGGCAACTTAATGGGATTAAATCAATGGCCAGGTTTCCAGTGAGCAGCAAAGTGTAGATGCTCCAGTCTGAAGGCAGTGTGCTTCCTCCACACTCTGCTGATGTGTATCACACAATACAGAGGCAGGGAGCCGGGCCAGGGACCATCCTAGTCAGCAATAAAGTAAAAAGCTACAGAAGATAAATACATGGAAACCTTCACTAGCTATAATTTCTGTTGGCTCAGAACCATACAAGGGAAAAAAAGAAGAAAATGTATAATTTAAAAAAAACAACAAAAAACTATGCCACTTGCATTGCCCAAACCTGCAGAGTTTTGCAGAAAAACCCCTTCACATTCAGTAGGTCACTCCTGACTTGATGATCAGTGTTCAGCAGTTTCCCTCTCACAGTTACAGACCCTGGAGAACTCATCAGAGAGCTGCCAAGACGCCTCTTGGACCTCCTTGGCTCTGGGCAGTTCTTGCCAAGCCCGGAGCCTCGGGAACATCCCCCAGCTGCAGAGTGAGAACAGGGTGCCCAGACAGGCTGGAAGTGTCCAAGGCCAGGCTGGATGGGGCTTGGAGCAACCTGGGATAGCGGAAGCTGTCCCTGCCCATGGCAGGAGGTGGGACTGGATGGTCTTTGAGATCCTTTCCAACTCAAATCCACATGACCCCTGACACAAAAATCATCCATTACAGCCTGCTCCTGCTGTGGGAGCTGGCACTGTTCCCACCTGAAACAAAACCAAGTCTGAACTTGCAAAAATGCCCCATGTCCCAGAAATGGCAGTTTTGTTGTGTTGTTTCTAAGTTCTGTGCTCCCCCACTCATCTTTGATCAGAGGGAACACGCCGACAAACTGCAAATTACTTTCATTATCCCACCACTTCAGAGTTTTACATTCAGTTAACATAGCTAAGTGGTATCAGATCCGTCTTCCACTCACAAAAGCCGGCATATGGATGTTCTCATTAATCAGAAAAGGCAGACAAGACATTTTTCCAGTAAAAAGGAAGTATTTCCCTTGGAGGAATCTCAGTCCTTTGCCAAGGGAAAGCGTGAATTATAGAAAATAACTATATACTTTAGATGTAACAAATAAGCTCAAATATTAAATTTGAAGACACTATTCCCATCTTGGGATGTTTCCATGCCAAAAATCAATGAAGCCTGGGAGACTCTCTCTCTCTCTCTCTCTCTCTCAGGAAGCCTTGCTGTACCTTTGCCCTGTTCTTAATTCTTGTCTTTAGCATCAACTATTGATCCCTGTCGGGGTGAGGACAGGAGCTGACTGGATCCTCCTCTGACCCAGCACACTCATCCTTTTATTTGTGTGTCCTACAGCTCAAGGTGCAGCTTGGGCCTTGTGGCAACATTGATGAGCATTTGCAACTTCAGCAAGGGTAAAAAAGAGGTATCTAGAAGCTAAACAACACATCTGTGAGCAAATATTACAGTGTAGTAGATATCCAAATTAGTATTAGTTTGTCTCATCAAAAATTAATTACAATCTACCTAACTGCAATTGAATAAATTAGTTGGGCGTAGAAAATATTAAATATTTAAAGTGGCTGGTGACTGAAAAATAATTGAAAACATAACTCCTTGCTTAAATATTAAATTTCTTTTATTTTTATTGCTAGCGTGGCCATTAAGAAATGAGAGTTCCATATGTGTGTGCATTCATGTAGATGGGTATGGCACATATGGAACATGTTCATGTTCATTCTTCTAACTTCCCTCTTTCCCTAAAACTAAACCTGGGTAAATATTTTCAATGAATAAAGAAGAGCTCCACTGGCAGAGCCAGAAGGCTGTGAAACAGGCAAGGGAAAACACATTTTTACTGCTAGGTATTTAGCAAGGTCACCTGCCTCTGCAAACGCAGGAGAAGAGATCCCCCAGCAGGCTCTGAGCACAGCAGGGGATTACACCAATTCATTAGCAGGTATCTCTTCTAATTACAGGCTGGGACATGAGTCCCCCACAGCTGGGCAGGGAACAACCGCTGCTTTTTGCCTTTTCCTGGGGATCAAGCTCAGAGTTTCCTGCTGAGCTCCAGGACAGCAGCAGCACAGCCCCACCACAGGCTCCAGCTCCAAGCCAAGCTCTCCGTTATCCCAAAGGATGCTCCTGGCTCCTCACAGTCCTGCTGGAAGCTGTGGGAGCGACAGCTCACCCTGTCAGCTCCATCTCTGGTAAAGATCTCACATTCATTTACTGCAAAGGTGACATGGGTGAAGAAGGGAATAAAATGAGACTTTGAACCCCTCCTTCCAGAAGGCTAATAGTAAAAAATTGGTAGCAATGCAACTCTGGCACATTTCCAACTCTAACACTTAGAGTGCTGCCCACAGCCGTGTCCCAGACACACTTTATCATTCACCATGGCTCAGTGCAAAACATAAATAAAACAGAAGTCATCAGCACTACTGGCACTCAGCTGTTTGGAGGCTTTTTTTTTTTTTTTTTTCCCTGCCAACAAAACAAATAGTGAAATAGGAGAGCTGCAATTCAAGTGGTAACACTCACCATTAGAAATTTGGTGGGGGCTGGTGGTGAGATGGGAAATGAACTCAATTATGGAATGCAGGCAATAATAAAATGAAGAATATGTTGACTGAGCTTAATACAATAGAATACTGTGATACTGCCGAAGATCAGCATTTATTTTTGTTATCCAAGTACAAACTAACAGTATCCAGGAAAAAAGAAATAAGTGGTTAATCATCCTTGTTGAAGGAATTATTCCCATCAAAACAGCATCAGTGTTACATTATGAGATTCAAGAGTGTAATTAATATCTTGCTGTGTTAGAAAGTGCTATGACACTGCACAGGTTTTGCTGCTGTTGCACGTAAGTAAATACTTTCTGAAAACCAACCCAAGAAATGCTACGCAAATACTTCCAATTTGAAATAATATAAACTCCTTTCTTCAGCAGGCATTTGGTTTTCACCAAAGCTGCTTCTCA